GGCACAGAGAAGTTAAGTAACTTGTCTGAGGTAACAGCAAGTAAGTGATAGAGCTCATATTTGAACCTATGGCTTGCTACTGGCAGCCATCTTAATATATGCGTCTATGCTGATGTCCTAATTGTCAATCCTCCAATATCTTAGACTGTACCAATGGCCTCTATATATTGCAGATCCAAGTGGACCGAGCCAATAGCTGCTGGAATGCAGAATGATTTCTGTGGGTCCATTCTAGAGCTTTTGGGGAGAATAATGAAACCAGAAGAACCCTAACTTCCTCTTCAGTCATGACCATCTTTTCTGTGTTCTCTGTCCTCATTCAATAAGAAAGGATTTCAAAACTAGCCCTCAAGGACCCCAAATGTCTCCTTCAAGTTGGCAATCCCTTCCCGCTTTGATGGCCTAATTAGGTAATGACTTCCTGCCCTCGGTATTCTGGGTTTCTTTCAGAGACTTCCAAAGATGTGGTAGAGTGCGCTGAAGGTGAGGGCTGGGGAGATAAACCCCTACGGCTCAGTGCAAGAGTGATATCTAATACTTAGACAAAAAATGAGGCCCCTGGATGTCCCAGAAAACATGGCCTGATGATAGTGCTTTGTCAGTTATTCTGAAAGTGTTACCCAAGGCCTATGTCATGTTGAGCAACCATTCAAAGATGGCTGTCAAGTAGATCCCAATCAACAAGTTCAAAGGTATGGTGCTGGTCCTCATATAATATTTGTAACACATGACTTCATTTACTTCTCAGTAGTTTAGAGCTAGAGAGGAGTTACAGATATTTTCAACCAATATTTCTGGTCCTTAAGTGTTTGTAGCCAAGGTTATTTAAAGCCAATGAAGACTTATGTATATGGGCTTCACAAAATTCGAGTTTGTGATTGTTTGAAATTTTGCTGGGATAAAGTTTAACCTGATTTTTCCTCTAAAAAGAAAGTTTACCACCTGCATTGCTACTATAAGCAAAACTGAGGGAAGCACTTTTCAGTTAATTATGAAAGTAAACTGTTCTTAAACAACCTTAGCAGAAATGCTCATTTGTATACAATTAATGTGTCACAATCAGATTTAATCTGTTGCTAACATGTTATCCTCTAGTCAATAAAACTAGTTTCCTAGAAGGTACCACTAGAGAAGACAGTAGTTCTGTTACTGCATGTCCTTGAAAATAATAAAGGTTCATTTCTTTACAAGTATTTTATAATTCACTCTTCCCTAGTTTAGCCAGAATTTCGCAGGAAATGAGGTCTTATTAGCGAGTCTTGCTGTTATATGCAGGTCTCCCCATCTGAACCTATTGGTGTCAGTGCAAGTAGCACCCCATGATTTGTGTCATCCAATTAGCTGAGCAATCCCCAGAGGCTCCCCTATCAGGTCTCCTAGGTAGACAACAGAAAACACACTCCTGAGCAACTAGTCCTTTCCTTTCTCGGTTCCCAAGGTGGCTTTAAGTCTGAAAAATCCTTCCTTAGCTTTCTTGCTCTTTTTATTCTAAAAATTTCCTGTTTTTTATTTCTAAAGACATACGTGCCCTGAAATTCTTGCAACAATGATGATAAAATATGAAAAAGAAATCGAGGAAGGAAAACAATCTTGTTTGAGAGAGGGACACGGTGAGAGGGATTAAGGGATAAGGAAAGAACAGAGAAGAGTAGAAGGTAGTGGAGAAGACAGGAGAGGCTTGAGGAATGGAGGGAGCAGGGAGGGAGAAAATGCATCAAAGAGGTAGAGAGAATTTGGCTAAAATGGAAGGAAGAAGGAACGAATAGTGAATAAACACAAGCACAAAGCAGGATTAGTCGGATGAGAAGAGAGAGGAAGTAGTAGAAAAAATAAATAAAGGAGGGATGTCTCAAAAAAACTATCAGCATCTGACCTATTTTTACATTTCCTGAAAGCTACTTCCTTTTTTTTTAGCAGAGTCATTACCAGTTGTATGGCTTCCCTCTATCTGTCTTTATTCCTACAGTTCAAGAATCAGAAAAGAAAATTATTTTCACATTAGCAACTCATTAAATGCCTCCATATTTGTGGCCGGATCACTGCTGGAACTGAATGCATTGTTTTTACACATCTGAATGCCTACTTGGAGGCATTGTCAGCCAGGACGTCTAGGTTGGGAGACCTTCTGTCATGCATATGGGTAAGTGGGTGGGGTGGGGCTGTGTCAGAGTCATCCATCATTCTCCATCAATGTCATCACCACCTACAGGGACCCAGCCAATGGCCAGTCAGTCACTCAGGCCTGACAGCTGGCTATTAGTCCCTGACCAGTGGGGGCTATTCTCTGGGATCCAAAGGTATTACATACTGGCTCTTTTTTTTTTTTCCTTTTCCTACCAGTAAGTTCTAGCAAAGTCTCCACTTTCAGAATTAGCAGATATGTTGGTGATTTCACCCTCCTGCATGATAACTGGGCCAGGCCAATCAAAGGTGAGATATGCTCTGTATCTACCTAAAATTATAGTGGATCATCCTTTAAAATTAAATATTAAACAATTCAGACAAATAAGGTAGGGACTTATTTTTTTTTGCATGTTTATTTTAGTGTTGACACTTTAGTATCAAGCAAATCCAGACTAAATCATGGTAACTAGCTGCCTAATTAGAAAAGGTGCTAATGAGTCAAGCCTGCTTCTGTCATAAATTCTTTCTCTGAACACTTGAAAAATGAATGCTTCCTCTTTTAAATTGAGGGACATCAATTATATGTCAATATAAAATAAAGTTTACAATCTTCGGTGTATAGTGCCACGATTTTTTGCATATGTATACATTACTATAAACAACCCTGGACCACAATATAGATTAGAGGTGAGGCGTAAAGCCCAATTGTCTCCAAGTTGCATCACTTCCAATTCCTAGGTTAGTCCAACCCTCACTGACTGAGTTTCTCTGAGTGGGCCCCACTCCATGGCCTGCCCAGTCTCCCTGGAGGTCTGAACGCCATAGTCTGAACCCCAACATGCTTGGATGGGGTCCAATTCTTGTTTTCATCTTCTCTCTGTCAGCATCTTGCCTTCTTGCTAAAGCTGGGTCACATCCTGCCAGAACTACCAGAGGGACTCAGCTTGGGAATATATCGCCCAGCTTAGCTTTTCTCGGCTGTGCTGGGCCAGGCAACTGGACCTCCTGGCGGGGACAAAATCATGTCGACCACCTGCACTTGAACATACCCGGTTGTTCTCTCATATCCAGTGAATAGGTTGCCATCTGCTCCCTGGTCTTGAGGCTGCGAAAATCCCAGCTCACTGCACCAAAGTCTTGCAATACCCCGCACCTTTTAATCACGGGACCCAGGGCTGAAGGAATAAAACCTCAGAGGTCATTGTGCCTCGCCTCTTTTCTTCCAGATGTTCTTTGATGATCCTAAATGAGGGGTATTGTTTGGAAAACTGTATATTCCCACAAGAAGAAAGAATATATTAGTGGCAAGAAACATTGTTTTCATGGTAGATCTGAGTGACATTTTAAACATGTAATAGCTTTAAACTTTCATCTGGACTTTTGGGTTTCTGATTTTGTGATCCTTTCTATTTTACTCCGGTCATCAAACAGACAGAATCAAGTGGATTATGACTGAGACAATCTTAGAACTGATAGGAGACCTGGGACTTGAATTCCCTCTGAGCAGGGCACTCGGTGTCGGCTTCATCCCCTCCAGTGATGGACAGTTCACTACCTCACACATTCTAATTGTGAAAAGATCCCATTTTAAGTCATTGTTTTCTTACTACTACCTGAAATAAACTTTGTTGTCTCAATGCTCTTGAAATTCTTCATATCGATTTTATTATTTTATCATGTGTTGCGATTATTGATTTAAGAGTAGATCTCCCAAGAATACCTAATGACTTGAGTTGAGTAGTATGTGACCTTCAACATCAAGAATTCTAACATACCTAGGAAATGATCTCGAGTTGGCTTGAATCCAAAGATGGGTAGATCTGTCTTCAGGTATAGTTTGATATAGGGCTCCATCAATGTTACCGGAAGAATGGCTCCATTTTTCTGTGACTCTCTCTCTGCTCTGCATTCCCTCATCTTCATGCTTTGTCTACTCGTGGAAACAAAATGACAACAGCAATTCCAGACCTTATATCTGTATCTGTTATTGTCCATGGGAAATGTGGTAAAGTCTTGAGATTTGTGTTTTGCTCCTTAGGCCTGACTGAGTTATGCACTTATCTTAGAATTCATTATTGCAGTTGGTAGAAAGGAGATATGGCTTCATCCGATCTAGAACTGTCCCTAAAACTGGAGATAGGCCAATCTCATCAAATCACATTGCAAAGAATGGGGGATAATAAAGTTCCTCAAGAGTCAAGTTCCTTATCAAAATGTAGCCCTGACTGGTTTGGCTCAGTAGAGAGTTGGCCTGTGGACCGGAGAGTCCCGGGTTCGGATCCCACTAAGGGCACGTACCTCTGTTGCAGTTTGTCCCCGGCCTCAGTTGGGGTCGTGTGGGTGGTGACCACTTGATGTGTGTCTCTCACATCGATGTTTCTCTCTCTCTTCCCTCTTCGCTCGCTCCTGCTCTATCTGAAGATAAATGCAAAAATGTCCTTCGATGAGGATAAAAAAAAAAAAAAGAAAATATATATATATTGATGCCAGGAAAGGAGGAATGGACGGTGGGGAGGTAGTTAACAGTATCCTCTGTACAAGGGCTGCAAAGTGTTTTCTGTGTGGTCTTCTCATATAATTGGAAGATTTAAATTGATAATTGGAGAGTAGGGAGAATTTGGAAGTGTGGCCACTGAGGAAACTGAAACAGAGGCAGGAATCCTATGGAGCGTGACGCTGTGCCAGTTAAGGTAAGTGCTGAACTGCGGGGACAGAAAGCCCCCAGAAGATAGCGGCTGAGAGAAGACAAAGTACTTCTGATTGCAGTACAGCCCTGAGCAAAACGGCGGCTTGGCTCCACGTCGTGTGTTCAGAGGGTGGGTTCCTTCCTTCCTGTCGCTCTGTATCGCCCTGGGGCATTGACCTTGCACGCATGGATGAAGCTGGGTCATGGCCATATCCGTGTTTCAGCTCGTGGGATAGAGAAAGAAAGGCCAAGGTAGCAATTTCCTTTAAGCAGGTGTATATAACTTCAGCTTGTTCCACTGGTAAGAATTTAATCATGTAACCACATAGTCGGGCTTGTGCATCCAATACGTGCATACAGAAGAATGTATTTGAGGGGCAAAGAGACTTTGCCACAGATGCTGTAAACTCTGGTAGAATTATTTGGTAAACAAAGCAATGGCCTGGGACGAGCAGATCTAGGTTTAATACATTTCACTTGAGTGCGAAAGGCGGACAGAAGTGAAACAGAAGCGCCAGCTAAGAAGCTGTTACAATCACCAAATGCGAAATGTTGAAGGCCCGGACTAGGATTCCTCTGAGGTCAAATAAGAGTGGAGCTCCGATGACCTCGAAGACCTTTCTCCGCTCTGACTGTCGTGTATGATATGAGTGGTTGCGCCTTTTCATGAGTGGCTGATTCTTGAGAGGTCTAAGCAAATTTTTTAAATGAGCCTGCAGCCTGTGGGTATTAGTCAGACACCAAATGCTGTCGGGAGCATGAACAGGGCCATTTCTATAACATGACAGGGTAGAGAAAAACCAGTTTCCTGTTTACAAAGCAGCACGTAATTAAAGTATAGTATGTCGGAGTGGAAAAGCCAGAGCTCAGCCATTTATTAACTGGGCCGCTTTGGGCAGGACCCTGGGTCCCTCCAACTCCAGTTTCTCAGTATGTAAATAGGGGACTCGCACTGACGAGGAGTGTTATGAGAATTAATGAAAGCACCCGTGTGACAGTCAGATGCTCATTAAAGGACATGGATAAGTGTCCTTTCCCATCCAATGTGCGTATGTAAATTTGCCTTTGTTCTTAAGAATATCTTCATGCCCATCTCAAAGTGAAAGAAGAAAGATTTTACTTTTTTTTTTAACCTAAATATTATGTTCTCTGCATTGGCCCTCAGCCCCAACTCGGGCTCATTCCCGCAGGGCGCCTGGTGACGGAAGGTCCCCACGCTGCCTGCAGCTGGTAGAGGTACACATTAGAAATTCATTTTTTCCTGTCATAATAACAAAGTGCGTCGCGGCAGCCTGGGCATGGTTTCGTATGGGAAAACTCGCAGAAAGGGACAGCTGAAAGAAGCTGTGCTTTTCTCCGATACTTCTTGTCAGGGAGAACCATCCTCAAAAGGAAGAGGGGGGGAAAAAAAAAGAAAAAAGTCCCTGTTAAATTTGGACGTCTCCTTTCTAGTGGCAAATGGTTCTGCCCTCGCCTCCCCTTGGCCTGCGTCTTGCTGGCTGGCGCTGCAGAACCTAGTTCAGAGGACGCAGTCACCGCAGAACCTACTTCAGAGGACGCAGTCACCGCAGAACCTAGTTCAGAGGTCGCAGTCACCGCAGAACCTAGTTCAGAGGTCGCAGTCACCGCAGAACCTAGTTCAGAGGTCGCAGTCACCGCAGAACCTAGTTCAGAGGTCGCAGTCACCGCAGAACCTAGTTCAGAGGTCGCAGTCACCGCAGAACCTAGTTCAGAGGACGCAGTCACCGCAGAACTAGCTCATAAGGACGAGTCACCGCAGAACCTAGTTCAGAGGACGCAGTCACCGCAGAACCTACTTCAGAGGACGCAGTCACTGCAGAACCTAGTTCAGAGGTCGCAGTCACTGCAGAACCTAGTTCAGAGGACGCAGTCACTGCAGAACCTAGTTCAGAGGACGCAGTCACTGCAGAACCTAGTTCAGAGGTCGCAGTCACTGCAGAACCTAGTTCAGAGGACGCAGTCACTGCAGAACCTAGCTCAGAGGACGCAGTCACTGCAGAACCTAGCTCAGAGGTCGCAGTCACCGCAGAACCTAGCTCAGAGGACGCAGTCACCGCAGAACCTAGTTCAGAGGACGCAGTCACTGCAGAACCTAGTTCAGAGGCCGGGGACGGAGTCACCGCAGAACCTAGTTCAGAGGGCGCAGTCGCCGCAGAACCTAGTTCAGAGGGCGCAGTCACTGCAGCCTTTCTCTTCAGCGGGCTGGTCTGAATCCTGGAGCATCAGCAGCTCAGAAGACAGACCTGATGGTTCTTGATTAGCTCTGGAAACATTTCCTAAGAAATCAAATTCCTGCCCTGGCCGGTTTGGCTCAGCGGTTAGAGCGTCGGCCTGCGGTCCTGAGAGACCCGGGTTCGGTTCCCGCTAAGGGCACGTACCTCGGTTGCAGTTTGTCCCCGGCCCTGGACGGTCGTGCGGGTGGCAGCCACTCGATGTGTCCCTTTCCCATCGATGTTTCTCTCTCTCTCTCTCTCTTCCTCTCTCTCCCTCCCGCTCTACCTGAACAAAAAATGGAAAAATGTCCTCGGGTGAGGATAAAAAAAAAAGAAATCAAATTCCTGAGTGCATTTATCTTTTCTTTTCTTTTCTTTTCTTTTCTTTTCTTTTCTTTTCTTTTCTTTTCTTTTCTTTTCTTTTCTTTTCTTTTCTTTTCTTTTCTTTTCTTTCCTTTCCTTTCCTTTCCTTTCCTTTCCTTTTCTTTTCTTTTTCTTTTCTTTTCTTTTCTTTTCTTTTTTCTCTCCTTTCCTCCCCTCCCCTCTCTCTCTCTCTTTCTTTCTGAATGAAAACAATAGTCCATTTTATTGGTGAGTGTGCACACATTGAAACCAAGACACCCTCACGCTTCCGTGTACTCCCCAAATTATCTTTACAGCCACCAGTGAAAGATTAGTTCTGCTACTTCTTAGAGATGGGCAAGACTTCCTAAGTTTAAATATCTGGTCTTAATTACACCCATGTCCTAAGATCCCAAGACAGATTGGAGAAAATGGATTCTCAACTGTTGCGAAAGGTCAAAAACAAAGCTCAATACATTCTACAACTTTGATACCTTTATAGAAAAGAGTTTAGTATTAACCAAATACCCCTCCTTCCCCCCTTCTAACCCATCCTCTCTCTCAGTTATTGACAAATTATTTTCTACAGTATAAAGTGATACCTAAAGTACCAATGTTAACTTTTCCAAAAAAGAAAATAAGAGGTACTATATAGCAACAGATTTATGAACCCAATGCCATTGAAATTATACACTGAGCACTAATGCTAAATCTGCTAGTACCGCAAGCTCAACCCACCCCCCCCAATCTTTAAATTTCTCTAGTGTTCCCACTTTTCAGACTTCTCACAAGTCACATGCCATTGGAATTGGTATCACCACTGTACTTTGACGTATGTATGGAAATAATTATCTGTTACATGTAAAATTTCAAGCAGAACTAAGGTAGAACTCAAGTCTTATTTCTAAGTGTTCCACCGCTGTCCCCACGCCCCCACATACTGCTCCACAGAACGCTGCTGGGCATAGCCATAGTCATGTGCTCCTGGGTTTCAAACACATGTGGAAATGCTGGCTTAAACTAAGTTAACCAGATGCCCGGAGCCTTTAATGTGCCATCCTAAGTCTCAGGAGAGGTGTGGAGAACAGAATAGGCATCATAAATTCAAAACCCCGCAAGTCACAAAGCAGGTAATCACGTGCGTGTACAAGGCAAGGACTGGGGCTGAGGGAATGTGATGCTATCCGGTGGGGTCCCGATTGCACAGGAGTGCAGTCCAGTGTTGCCAGGTCTTTGCCAGAGAAGCTACAAATCTAGGCTATAATCTAAAAAATCAGTGTTTATGCCTGTTGTCTTGAATTAAAAACAAACAAACACTGTAGTTTGAACAAACTTTTTAGATCAGATAGTTTGGCCCCATTTGGGAAATCTGGTAGACAATGTTTAACAGGTCTACATGTAGCAGTTTACTGGGGTGGAGGGAGATTAAAGGAGAAACTAGGTGTTTCCCTCTTTTTTTTTTTCTCCAGAACAAATTAATGGACGTAAGGGGGTGTATACATGCATGTGTGCAAATATGCTTATTTGCAGCTTTGTCCAAACATGTACTGTGAAATGTTTGCAGGACATTAAGTCTAGTTCTTCAGTTCAGGCAATCCAGGGCCTGTGAATGTAGCTGCTTGGGTGATGATGGGGTTCAAGACATGCTACCCCAACATGTGACATCTCATCATATTGAATATTTTAAGCAGAAGCAGGAAGGTCTCACTAACCTTCTCCTACCCTTCCCCTGAAACAAGAAAATTAAAACCCTCATCTGAGCCCTGGCCGGTTTGGTTCAACGGTTAGAGCGTCGGCCTGCGGTCCTGAGAGACCCGGGTTCGGTTTCCGCTAAGGGCGCGTACCTCGGTTGCAGTTTGTCCCCGGCCCTGGTCGGTTGTGCGGGTTGCAGCCACTCGATGTGTTCCTTTCGCATCGATGTTTCTCTCTCTCTCTCTGTTCCTCTCTCTCCTTCCCACTCTACCTGAACAAAAAATGGAAAAATGTCCTCGGGTGAGGATAAAAAAAAAACAAAACCCTCATCTGAGAGGCCCCCCTCACTATACCCCAGGGATAGGAGCATTCTTATCTCTTAAGACAGGGAGGAATCTGAACTAATAGACCTTGCTAACGGCTCCCAGTTTACTCCCTAACCTATCACCTTGCTCTACAATGTCCACTCTTCATCAAACCTTGCATAAGAACACACAGGTCTAACTGTTTCTTTGGGTCTTCCTTTCCTTATGGAGGCTCCCATGTCACCTAAAACTTATATTTAATAAATCTATATGTTTTTCCTCTATTAGTCTGTATTTGTTAATTTTCAGACCCAGACAGAGACCCTAAGAGAGTCAAGGAAAACTTTTCCCTTCCCTACATTGGCCTCATCACCAGTAAGCTATGTTTTGCTTAAAAACACACAATATGGTATATGAGGAAATGATTATAAAATGTGAGTAAGAACCAGTAACCTAGTTAGCAAGTGAGACGACACTATAATGTCGTTAGATACAAAGGCCACGTGAAGAAGAAACGTGCCCGGGGCCCGAGGTGGCTGTAGGCACAGTGCCCATCATGCTTTCAGAAGCTCCCCAAAATGTATTATATTTTCCCTCAGAGAAGAAAGCAAGGTCAACATATTTAAAGTTATATAGTAATATGTTGACATTATTTTGGTGGGAGGGGCCCACAAAGGCAAAAGTGCCCAGGGACCACAAAGCTATCCATGTAGCCTGTGGAAGAGCCGCACTTTAGAAACAGAGAGCACATAAACATGAAGAAAGAGAAAACTAGTAAACTTTAAAATGGGATTTTGTATTTAGTAGTTTATAATTCTCAATGACGTCTAATGACTTTTACAAAAAAAACAGCATAGATTTTCACAGATGGTTAGACTGTTATTTTCATCACACCAAATATTAATCTAATTTGATTCTTCTCCTCTTGGTAACTTAGAAAAAGTGAACACTAAATGCTTTTACCCTGTCACTTCATCCAGCTTTTTCTGTGCTCCTAAGTCTCCCCGAAGCCTGAAACCCTGCATTTCCTTTGGCGGGAATGAACTAACACCTCTGGGTTAGCCTCTGATGTTCGATGTCAACCAGCAGGGGTTGCTAGAGACCAATCCAGGCCCCTGTCTCTGAGCAGAGGTAACAGACAAGCTGGGGAGAGAAGTCCTCAGAGCAAGTTAAAGCCTTGGTGGACAGCCAGGGCTTTGCTGCCCCACACCAGTCTAATTTTCCGTGGAGAAATGAGCCACTCTGGGTTTAGAGATTAAGAAGCAAACATATTCTTTTGATGTTCCTTGTTTTTGAAGGTTCAGTGTCTTTGTGAGCCATATCTGGACGCTAGATCTTAGAGCCCCTGTAAACCCAACTTCTGGTGACAGATAGCCCGGGGAATTCTGAATGAAGGGCAGGAAGAGGCAGACGGACTCTACAGCCTCCTTAGAGAGCACGACGCCCGTCTCTGGAGGAGATGCTGAGTCTCAGGCTGTCTTAAGGGGGTGAGTTTTTGTTTTCTTTGCACTTGTTTTTGAGGAAGGCAAGACTTAAATGTGAACTCCATTCTGGCCTAGAAGAAGATGCCCTGAAATACTCCCTCTAACAACAAACAAGTTGACATTTCAGATGATTTCTATATTTTCTTGTTGATGGTTTACTAAAATGTGGCAGGTCCGCTGCTGCTGGGAACAGCGTTGGTCGTGGTGGCCGCTCTGTCACCGGCAGCTCCAGGAACTCGGTCTTGAGGATCATTTGCTGTCTTGCTGCTGCCTATTGTGTTAAAGAGGGTTGGATTTTTTTTTGTTGTTTTTTTTTTGTTGGCCGGATTGTAAATGTTTTGAATTTAAAAGACACCCAAATTCATTAAATGTGTGAAATGATGGGAAAAAAAAGTGTGAAATTGTAACAGTCGGTTTGTAGTTGATTAATAGAAATCTCTCCTAACAATCCCCAGAACCTTCCAGGGGTCATTGGAACAGAGCAGCTGTAGAGACAGCAGGAGTGATTTTGACACTGCCCAGTGAGGGCTGTGCCGCGTTCCAAACAAGTGGGGAGTCCCATACACTCTGCACCCGCGTTGGCCTCTCAGAGATGATTGGCTGCAAGGTCAGATGAATATGCAGAGCACCCAGCAAGGTGCTGTTTAGCTCTTGGTCTTGGAGGGGTTTGTCTTAACATACATTATGGCTTCACCGTGGTCGAGTCATTTGGAGTGAACTAGTCACTTTGGCCCCAGGTCACTGCTCGCTCAGAGCCAGTCTGATTTCTTAGCTTGACCATCTGTGCCAAAAGCAGAGATTCATAATTCGGTGTGTGGGAGCAACTTTGGGGTGCCCTGCAAGGGGGCTATTTAATGAGCACAAGAGCTGGCAATTGATTGGAGTCTCTGGTTCCCCCTTCCCCACACCTCCTCCGCTATAGACAAGTCTTGACAGGGGCAAGGAAAGGAAAGTAAAAAATCGCCTTTCTTTGAGGGAGCACATTTTTTCATAATTTTTGGCCTCCACCCACCCCAAACCTGTAGTGTCTTTTCTCTTTGAAACCCTGCTGCAGGCTACCGTTCCGAAGTTAAAGGCTTTTGCCTTCGAAGAGGTACAAAGGAAACATCAAAGTAAATGTCCTCACAGTGACATAAGGATAGAATAATGGTGACCTAGCAGCTAGAGACTTGGCC